AAGCTTTACAAAAGTCTCTTAAGCAAGAAAGATGATTAACTTAGTATAAAAAAAAGTTTTAGATACATATATGCCACATTTACACCATAGTAAATTTATATAGTAATCTGAGTCAATTTTTACTATGATCATGCTTCAGTTGACTGGAGGATCATCAATTAAGACACAAAGTAGTTGTGCTAATAAAATTTTGCAATATAGCTTCTTAAAGTTTGTATTTTCTTATAATTTATTTTTTGTCAATTTCATTCTTTTTTTTAGCACCTAGCCCATATATAAGATGAAATACTTATATATTCATAATTATAGTACAATTAATATCAAGGAATGCTTTTTCCAAAAGAGGATTTAAAATCCGGCACTTGTACTGGTATTCTGAAGCATTTGAATTGTTTAGAGGATGCATTGGGGTATAAAAGCATGAAAGACTATTATAAGAAGAGTTTGTTAGTACATATATAGAATATAATGATTGTGAAGAAATAATACATACAGTAGTTAATACAAAACAGCTTACAATGTAAGATAAACTTTTTGAACCTATAAGAAGGGCCAGCTAGTATTAAATGCAAATGTATCATTTTTTACTGGAGGTTTAATTACTTCTAACTATATATTTATTAAGTTGATATAATAATCTACTGTTGAGCTATATATGACATTATGATAATTGTTAAGTAGTTTTGATAGATTATCATTTATTAGGAAAATTTATCTAACAGTGCTTTTTTCTGCCTATTTAATGATATTATTGTCAATACAAGGAAGTGAAATCAATCAAGAGTAATTAAAAAATTACAACCTCTACCTATCTTTGTTTCATAAGTGACCATTTCTGTATATTAAATAAACTTTTTATTGGATTATTTATATTTGTCTTAGCAAGAAATACTATTCGGTAGTTTGCAAGACTTGTTGAACTACTATTTGCAAGGTTGGTGAGTTTATTTACTAAAAGAAAAGCCTGTTATATCCAGAAAAGTTTTTTTTAGCAATATTCAATTAAAAAAGGTAAAAAAATAAAAAATAAATCAAACCTTATCTATCAAAAATAAGCTTTTGTGCTTATCACCTTGTATACTTTGTGAAGCGTCACCTTGTACACTTTGCAAAGAGTTACCTTGTACACTTTGTGAATCGTTATCTTGTACACTTTGTGAATTGTCATCTCGTGCACTTTGTGAATTGCCATCTTGTAAATTTTGAACTTCGCCTTGTGAACTTAGTTTTATACATTTAAAGCTTTCATTGTAGTCCTAAATATTCTATATATGATTTATTTTATAATGTCAATCAAAAACTTTAACTAAACTTATTATTATTACTTTACCCTTTAATGTTTTGAGTAATCATTTCTGAAGACTATCATTCTTTGAACTATAATGATTTGCCCAGTATTGACCCACAATGCCATTTTTCTTGGATTTATCCTTTTAAAATAAGAAACTTTAAATTCGCGTTCAAAGTTTGTGGCTTTATCACTTTCTTCTTTCGTTCTGTGTTTCCGAATTAATTTCAGCTAATTTTTAAAACTATGTGTTACTTTCGCTTTATCTAGCTCACGAAAATTCTTCTCTAGGGTTTTAAAATATTCAACTACATTCCATTAACTAAGGTCTGTGTTTATAAAGTATTCAAATCCATTGTCGGTTACAATGTCTGATAACATTTTTATTTTATTGGTTAAAGATTCAAAGATTACGTAATTAGTTACGACCTTTTATACTCAGAATCGACCAGGGCTGTCTTCAAATTTGCAGGCCACGTGAGGAAAATGACACTGCCATTAGCCCTAAATATATATTATATTAGGAAAATTAACAATCACTAGCAGTGGCACTACTTATATAACTCGCAAACTTGAAGGCCGCCCTGGTCGATTATGCCCTGCAAATTTGAACTATTCCGCAAATAAAATCACAAAATATAATACCTAACCTCAAGATTTTTTAAAAAAACTCCAGGATTTTTTTAATTATCCAGGGCATCACATAGCACAGCTTTTTTTTTTATAAAATAGTTATTTTAATTAAAATATGTAATATGTATAAGCTTACCACTCATAGGCAGACTTTCGTATGATTGGTAGTTTAAATTAGAGTTGGGCACCGAAACCCGAAACCTTTTCAAAACCTTAAAATTAGAATGTTAATAACTAATGCACATTTACTATAAAGTAACCAAGATATTTCTGAAATACAATCCAATTATCATGTACTTTATGTTTTAAAGTCTAAAATTAAAATTCTAATCCTTTTAGTATAGTATAAAGGAGGCACTTGAAGAACACTGAACTCAGTGATTATTGCGAATTGTGTCACCTCGAAATAATCACATTAATTTTAATTGGTCAGAAAATATAAACAAAATTAGGTGATGCATATCAATCATATAACATATGATATGATGGTGTATGTAACCAATGTGTAACTATTATGCATCTTATATGAAATTTGAATCGTCTCTAGCTTTACCAAGAAATCTTTTGTTAGTGTGAAGGTTAAATTGAGTGACTGTATTCTGTTTTTTTTTTTTACTCTTCTGGTATTCTTATGCTAACTGTTTTACTTTATTTTTTATAGTAGCACTACTGTGTATTGTTTATTGATTCTTGTCATTTGGAATTGACATATTTTGAATTTTCACTGATTAACAAATGACCTGTTACTTATTGATGCTATAAATTACGGCTTAGTGTTGAAGATGAAAAGAAGACATTCTTTTGGTTTCAATAATCACCAGTGATCTTAAGTTCTAGTAAGGAAAGATTTTAATATTTATGGACTGAATGAATGGTTAATATAAATTAAATGATTTGAAGAAAAGGCAATACGTGATG